ATTTATTCCGAATGATCCTAAAGCTTGAATTAGTTGAAAGCTTGCTCCTTCATATGCATCACACTCTATAAGTACATGTTCTACTGATTCTGCATGACCACATTTGTGTCTATCATTATATGCTAATACAGGTATGCTGCTATTTCTTTGCTTCCCTCCCATTTTTCTTATCATACTCCATACTTCATTAATTTCAATATCTTCCCCAATGTTGTCGCAAAATTCCCTCCAATAATTTCTCTTAGATGTCCGTATTACTCTCCTCACTATCACCTGTGCTCTTTTATAATTAATAAAATCGTTATAGTTAAAAGATCTTCTTACTCTCTTAAGTGCTTTATTCCTTTTACTTATTGCCTCACTACAATCCTCATTCCACCATGGGACGGCTTTCCTCCTGTTACTAGCCTTCTTCTTACCTATTACTTCTTCAGCAGTACTCTGAAGAATTTCACATAACTTATAATTAAACACCTCTACATCTTCCATAGACTTACTAAATTCAGACATTCTGTTATGACATAACTCCTTAAATGTGTCCCAGTTGGCTGATTTAAATTTCCACCTGGGCATTCTTTCCACCACAATTTGTGCTATATCTAAACCAATTGTACTGCTGATGGGAAAATGATCACTACCAACTGTACTTTGATTTAATACTTTCCAATCGCATTTTCCAGCTAAACTTTCAGAGACTAATGTCAAGTCTAAACTGGAATATTTTCCTTGTGACAAATCAACTCTTGTATAGCTTCCATCATTGATACACACTAATCCTCCCCAATCTAGCATGTCTTCTATGATCAATCCATTGTAATCTGTGTTAGTACTCCCCCACAATTTCGTTTTAGTTTTTGGTCACTTCTCTCCTCTTCTCCACTAAGTAACAAAGAAATTTAATTTCTAATACATATTAAAAAAATAATAATAATAATAATTGCATGGGTTTATGCATTTACATATGCAGTAACAAAAAAAAGAAAGAAAAAAATTATATCACTTTTCAGCAGCACATATATGTATGTATACAGTATCCAGTACACTGCCCTTTTTTTTTTTGCTACTTTTGGCCTTCATAAACAATTGTTTTTACATAAACAGATGGAAGGAGACACATTGTAACTCTAAACTCAATTGTGCATTTCAGATGCAGTCACATCCTACAACCTCATCATCTGCAGAGAGAAACTGCCACTCAATCACACCAAAATACACATAATGATGGACTTACAGACCTCATAGAGGATTATGAAAATACAGTATTTCACTAGAACTTGGTCTTCATTTTCACTATTTACTGTTCCCTATCGATACTTCACTCGTACTGCGTCTGCTAAGACGCTTTGGGGAAAAACAAATTTTTCTCCGAATACTGAAGCCTTTTCAATCACACAGTGTAACTGCATGACCATTGGTTCGTGCAGTGTATTAAAAACGAACCAATGGCTCGGCAGCGGAGCTCTACGATCTATGAGACTCGAAGCCTCTCACCGTAGAATCGCCAGAAGGGCAGTGAGTGCGTCGCCTGTCTGGGCAGCCCCCACGCAGAGACCGCACTTCACTGAGACGGAATGCTCTTGCTGAGAGTATGAGTCTTGCTCTTCTTCAAAGCAAAGCATTTTTTGAAAGCATTTTCAAAAGAGAGCAAAATTCCTCTTCTGAGTGTGGGGTCCCCATACAGTGACCACCCACTCGAATTAATCCAACCCCTTGTCACGCGGGCTGAGGCCTGGCAGGCCATCCCCGGAGTGCCAGACTGGGTTTTGGGGATAATAAAACGAGGTTATTCACTGCAATTCGCTCGAAGACCCCCACGATTCAGCGGCGTGGTTCCCACCTTGGTTTAGAGCAAAGACGTACACGTCCTGCGCTCCGAGGTGATGAATTTGCTGGCGATAGGAGCCGTAGAAACGGTTCCCCCAGCTCAAAGCGTGTCAGGCTTTCACAGCCGCTATTTCCTCGTCCCCAAAAAGGATGGCAATCTAAGGCCCATCCTCGATCGCAGGCACCTCAGGCACAGCCTCAAGAAAAGGCTGTTCAGGATGATTACATTGAAACAGATCCTCTCAAAGACGTACACGTCCTGCGCTCCGAGGTGATGAATTTGCTGGCGATAGGAGCCGTAGAAACAGTTCCCCCAGCTCAAAGTGAGTCAGGCTTTCACAGCCGCTATTTCCTCGTCCCCAAAAAGGATGGCAATCTAAGGCCCATCCTCGATCGCAGGCACCTCAGGCACAGCCTCAAGAAAAGGCTGTTCAGGATGATTACATTGAAACAGATCCTCTCGCAAGTGTGCCCAGGGGACTGGTTCTTTTTGCTGGATCTGAAAGACGCCTACTTTCACATCCAGATAGACTGGCTCATCTTGGCCCAGTCGGAGGATGAGCTACTATTTCACAGATCCTTCCTCCTCAGCCACTTAGAATGACTGGGACTCAGGGTCAATTTTGCCAAAAGCGCATTGTCTCCCAGCCAACGGATATCGTTCCTGGGAACAGTTCTCGACTCAGCCCGAATGAGGGCGGTAATCGCGCCAGAACGTGCACTGGCTATTCAACAGCTCGTGGCCTCATTCAAAGTTGGAGCCCCTCGCCCTCTCAAGGTTCAGTGCTGGCTGAAACCGCGAGTTCCGTCCCACGCCTGGTGTCTCGGATGCCTTCGTGTCAAGGTGGACCAGGCCTGCATAGCAGCTCTGGCCCCTTGGAAAGACTCTCGGTGGATGGAACGTGGCGTACTCCAGGGAATGATCTACAGAAGGAAGGTGGTCTCGACAGACGCTTCCAGCACGGGTGTGCCGGGCAGGTTGAACCAAGGAGCAGACATGCTGTCTCAGAGCAGCATCCCCTCAGAAGAGTGGATGCTCCACCCACATACGGTTCAAAGAATCTGGGAGATCTTCGGCAAGGCAGAGGTCGACCTCTTAGCCTCAGAAGGCAACTCTCACTGCCCAATTTACTTTTCAAAGGACAGGGATGCTTTGGCCCACGACTGGCCCAACCTCTTCCTTTACGCTTTTCCCCCAATCGCCCTGATCCCACAGGTAATCAGGGAACAGAAACACAAGGTTCTGTTGGTGGCCCCACTCTGGAGGAACTAGCACTGGTTCTCAGAGCTGTCTCGGCTGCTCTCAGCAGTCCCGTGGCCCATTTCCCTGAGATAGACCTCCTCTCTCAGGCGAACAGAACGATATGGCACCCCCAGCCCGAGCGGTGGGCTCTGCACCTCTGGCTCTCGATGGGAGCCTGCGGACCTCCCCGAGAGCATGCTAAATACAATATCTCAGGCTAGAACACCCTCTACAAGGCGGCTCTATGCCCTTAAATGGTCTGTCTTCTCCGCCTGGTGTATGGCCCGCGGCACAGACCCATTTTCCTGCGACATATCTCTGATATTGTCCTTCCTGCTAGAGCTGTTGGATAAGGGTCGTTCCCCCTCCACGCTCAAGGTCTATGTAGCAGCCATAGCAGCCTCACATGCTCCTATAGCTGGCCAGTCGGTGGGCAGGAACAACCTAGTCGTTCGCTTTTTGAAGGGGTCTAGGAGGCTCAACCCACCTCGCCCTGTCACCGTCCCTACATGGGACCTGCCCACGGTGTTGAGGGCTCTGAAGAGCCCTCCCTTCGAGCCGCTTCAGTACATTGACCTTCGTCCCCTGACGCAAAAGACCGCTCTGCTACTGCCATTAGCATCGGTAAAGCATATGAGAGATCTTCAGGCGCTCTCGGTGAGCCCTACCTGCCTCGAATTCGGTTATGTACCTAAAGTGCTCTCGACTCCGTTCAGAGCACAGGTGATAGCTCTTTCGGTGCTTCCTCCTTCGGAGCAGGACCAAGAGCTTAATCTACTCTACCCCGTCAGGGCATTGAGAATATACATTGAGCGTTCCGCCCCGTTCAGGCAGTCGGATCAGTTTTTTGTATGCTTCGGTGACTGCACCAGAGGGTCTCCGGTCACGAAACAGAGACTTTCCAAATAAATAATTGACGCTATCAAGCTAGCGTACTCTTCTTTGGGTCTACAATGCCCCATGGGAGTAAGAGCCCACTCAACATAAGTTGCCTCTTCCTTGGCTTGGTCTAGCGGAGTTTCCATTGCAGAAATTTGTGCAGCGGCCGGCTGGGCCTCGCTGTCCACATTTACCAGGTTGGCCCCTACTGGGTTCCGAGGCTGTACGACTTTTCTTGGAACGATTACTTAGCTGGGCCGGCCTCTGTGAGTTAGGCCCTATCGCTTCCTGTGGGGCTTCCCTGCAATTACTTGGTCCCTCTGGGCCCTTGGTGCTCAAGGCAAGTTCAAGCATTGGTTGTTCCTCTAACATAGCACAGCGGGATTGTACTGGTTCCCCAAAGCGTCTTAGCAGACGCAGTTCGAGTGAAGTATCGATAGGGAACATACTCGGTTACTAACGTAACCTCGGTTCCCTGAGATACGGGAACGATTACTGCGTTGCCGGCAGTGCTATGTAGCTGCACGACTCGGTCGTCGCTTCAGTCGAAGTAACCTGAGGATCCTATGGCGAAGTGCACGCTTATATAGCCAGATGCCCTGCCCAAATTGACGGGCTCTGGCAGGCTGTGTTGCCATAGGCTCGTGCAGAGTTTTGGTGATAACTAAACCAATATTTAATTTCTATAATACTGATTTCTTGCTAGAACTAACATCAAAAGTTAGTCAGAAATATACATTTACACACAAACTGACCACCAAACGCAACTTTCAGACACCATCTTTATTTTTTAGCTCAACCATTTTTTAGCTCAACCATCAACTTCGGATTCGGACGTGCCTTGATGCTTCCTACCTTGGAATGTGTCCTCCGAAGACAGCATTTTAGAGCTTTCAGACGCAGCCATTGTTTTTGTTTTTTTATTATTATTTATTTATTTATTTAACAAAACTATATTGTCACTTTAAATGACACGAACTTCTCTGACCGATAAGAGACGACTTCCGAGCCGCTTAGCCCCGCCCCTACAGTCCTCTAACTGCTTGTTCTATTTCTCCCTGTTGATCCAGAAACGGTTTCACACAATGAACCAGAGCAGAGCCCAGAGAGCATCATGGGAAGGGCTGAGATAAGCGGAAGCGTCACTACAGAGTGTTGTGAAAGTCTCCTGACAGGAGCTCATTACAGCCGCGATGGATCTGAAGGAGAAAACTGTCGTGTCATTAAAGAAATACGACAGCGGCGACGAGTTTCCTCGTTTACCGGCAGCTCTTCCTCAGGCGTCGGTGCTCATCCCGCTGCTGCTGAGAGACGGACAGCTGCGGCTCTTACTGACCGTCCGCTCCATTCACGTAAGAAACCTGATGTTTGGAGTTTCAGAAGCGCTTCTTCTGAGCTCTCATGTACTGTCTTGATGTAAAATGTATTTCTGGCATGAGCGCGTGTGTTCAGAGCGGGTCATGGGTGTGTTGCAGCTGAAGCAGCACGCAGGTGAAGTGTGTTTCCCTGGAGGAAAGGCTGAGTCCGGTGACAGAGATCAAGTGCACACCGCTCTGAGAGAGACCGAGGAGGAGATCGGCCTTCCTCCTGACAGAGTGCAGGTCATCTGCAAACTCTTCCCCATCTTAAACAAGGTTCACCGACACTCTTCTGATATAATAATAATAATATGCATTTATATGTACAGTTATAATGCATTATATACATCATTACAAAATATGCATATTTGTAACAAAAATATAAATATAAACTTACAGTTTTTACAAATATTACATATGTATTATTTAAATATGATAAAAAATTATTATATAACATAAAATAATTATATATGTAAATAGTAATATTAATAAAATATTAAATAATTATATAATTACATGTAAATAAAATATTAAATAATTATATTAGAACACTTCATACACACTTAATTCTGGTGCCTACATGAATTGTAATAAATTATTTTAATATTGTTATATACAATACCATTCAAAAGTTTGGAGTACCATTCAAAAATTGGACATAATAAATTGATCAAAATTGACAGTAATGTCATTTATAATTGTTAAGAAAAAAAAATCAAATAAATGCTGTTCTTGTGAACTTTCTGTTCATCATAGATTCCTGGGGAACAAAAGTATGACGTTTCCACAAAAATATTGGGCAAAATATTCAACATTGATAACTATCAGAAATGTTTCTTGAGCATATCAGCATATTAGAATGATTTCTGAAGGATCATGTGACACTGAAGACTGGAGTAATGATGCTGAAAATTCAGCTTTGCATCACACAAATAAATTACACTTTACAATATATTATAATAGATAACAGTTATTTGAAATTGTAATAATATTTTACAATATTACTGTTTTTAATGTATATTTGATCAAATAAATGCAGCCTTGGTGAGCATATAGAGACTTCTTTACAAACTATATTATCAGCTAATTTTGAATGAAAATGATTATAATTATACATACAAATACATTAATATTACTCATGCATTACTAATATTAGCTCAATAAATACATTGTTTCTAGTATCTGCTTGCATTTGAATAAATTATTCTAATAAATATTGATTATAATGTATATTTTATTTGACTATTTGTAATATAAAATGATTTGCAATGAAAAAAAAAAATTATAATCATTTTATTAAAATGCAGACAACCACTAAATAATTTAGTGTGCCAGAATACAGCAAGCGTATTTGTTTTGTTTTGTTTTTGTCTGTGTGTGTCTCTAATGGATTGTCTGCTTTGGCCAATCATACCGTCTCAAATGGTCTCCACAGACTGGTCTTCTGATCACTCCGGTTGTGGCTTTCATCGAGGACTCCTTCAAAGCCAGTCCAAACACAGACGAGGTGAGCGAGGTGTTCACTCTTCCTCTGGAGTTTTTCACTAAAGAGGCGGATCACTCCGGCTATCCTGTGCCCAGCGTCTTCGGACCGACCCATAGTTTCATGTACACTGACCCCAGCACAGGCAACATCCATCAGATCTGGGGTCTGACCGCTGCTCTGGCCGTAACCGTCGCTGTGCTGGCCCTCGGAAAGCAGCCTGAGTTTGAGGTCGGCTTTAACTTGGAAAATCCAGTTTCTGGGTTTAAAGACATGCTGAATCGCAGATTAAGCAAATTATGAAAGACGTTTCAGATTCAGTGTTATTGAGCATACAAGGGGAAATTATTTACTGTGATTCAACTGTAACGTTACTAGAAAGTCAGTTTGGAAATTCTTCATGTAAATAATTTTTATAATTAACAATGAGGATGTCATTTGTCTTTTCTGTTAGGAATTATTACAACAGCATTACACAGATGTTCAGACGTCATTACAGTATAAATATAACTCTTAGAGAAATGTGCCTAGATGAATTTGTAAATAAATTGTTATTCATCAAGAGAAGATAAAGGAAGAAAATTAGAATTAGTAAAGTACTGAAACTGCACTAAAGTATACTCATAAATGATAATAAATTACTAAATTATTTACATTTACAATGAATACATATGAAATGTTAAAACGTGATATAACATCTTGCATTTGACTGGTACTGTGTATATATGTTAGGACATACATAAAGGAACATGCAATATTTAAATACAGCCCACACAGTTTTAATAAAAGTTGACGTACTAAAACTGAAATATAAATAAAAAACGAATAAAATAAAATTAAAATGAAAACTGAAAATATAAAAATAAAATCTACTTCAAAATAATAATAAATACTATAATAATGCTAAAATAACACATTCAATTACAATTTTTTTTACAAAACTTTTATTTTATTTGATTGTTATACTTTAAAAAATATATATTTCAATTTTCTGTTTTTATTAGCTTTTCATCATTTCATGAACCCAATCCACATTCGACATTTCTCCATTTGTCCACTAGAGGTCATCATCGCCTGACTTCTGACAGTGTGAGGGTTCATGAAAAATGTTACTGTTACTGTTTGAAATAAAGTGTGTGTGTGTGTGTGTGTGTGTGTGTGTGTACCTGTTTTTCTATTCTGGTGGGGACTTAAACCTGAATACACACAGACTCATGGGGACTCGTGTCACGGTTGGGGACCTAAATTGAGGTCCCCACGGGTACAAAAGCTTATAAATCATACAGAATGAAGTTTTTTGAAAATCTAAAAATGCAGAAAGTTTCCTGTGAGGGGTAGGGTTGGTGTAGGGCAATAGAATATACGGTCTGTACAGTATAAAAACCATTACGCCTATGGAGAGTCCCCA